TATTATTTTATATATTTACAGGTATATATAAAATTTTTCACTCCGTGATAACTAAACTACTCAAATTTCTGAATTGCCGTATTTGTTATTAGGTATCACAGTGTACAACCTCTTTTTTAATGTATTTTCCTCTCTATTTCCCTAGCTAAGACCCTTTTTACTTCTTTCTGCGTTCATCTCCGCGTGAGGAGGGAGTTGAGCACTAAAATGCCTTTGCTAGCGTTTCTTCATCACCACCATGTCCCTCCTGTCACTACCACAGCCGTCACATGAGGAGTTAGATTTTCAAGAAATATTATACTGGAAAAATTGAAATCAATTGCCACAGCAATGCTTTTAGTCTGAGGAAATCTGGTTTTCCACTCCGAGCCACTTTCTGTTTAAAGAACAAGGGTAGTGCTGCCAAGGAAAGATTTGCTGTTGGATGCTTGAAAGCCGAAGATGTATTTCAAACACAGTCCTGAAGATGTTTTAGCTGCTGATTTACAAGAACATTTCTAGGTTGTGGCTTTTTTGTTTCCATTTGCAGTGATAAACTCTGAAGGTAAGGTACCTCTCAAGGCCTGGCTGCCACGTGCAGGGCCACAGGAGTCATCACATTGACCATAATTCGTTATTTATGGATTCAATTGCTCCAGCATCACCCCCATTCCCCATACACAGAGCACAGCTTGCTCTCCGGTCCCTGACATTACACCTTACACTGCCTGACAGTGTTAATATTTATGTCAACATCCTGGCAAGTTTTCATTAACCAGCGTTTTCTTTTTCCCTGAGCTCCAACCATTGCTTCTCATAACCAGCAACTCTTGCACGTTACTCAGCTCCACAATGAATTATTTACAACCTACATATGTTTTCAGGCAGTGCCGCTAAAAGATCATTTTGAGATGCGTTAATTCACGAAATCTGCCTCGTCTTAAGCCAATCTCACACCACTGAAGTCCAATGGGATTGTTCAGGGTAAACCCACATCATGCAAATGCTTGCAATGTGCAATTTTAATGGTTCTCCTACCCCTACTGGATCTTTCCTGAATGTCCCACTGCAACCCATGGATGTCCTTGAGCTGTGTGACCCGTATTTAAGATTGGGACCCAGTTGGAGGACGTTGCCCCGAACACGGCTCCGAGGGGCTCGGCGCACCCCGGGAAGCCAGTGTGGTACCACACCAGCTTTTGGGTTACCTTAGGAATTCTTGCCATTTTTTTCCGTTGCTTCCTGAACCGCAGCAGCTTATCACGTTCCTGGAAGAAGCAGAAACAAACGTTAGCTGTTTTCAGAGGGCTGTTATTTAAATTAACTGTGTCAGCAGTAGTCAATGGGCAACTGAGAAATAGTAATGTCAATGCAGGCCACTGCCTCAGAATTAAATAACCACGCTGTCCTCAGTCAAATGTCAGTTTTACTCCAACACCTTCAAGTGTGCCACATACAAGTAGCAATTGCCCTTCATATTCATGGAAATTCAAACAGCGAAAGAAGGTGGATTATAATGAGCACAACTCAGTGGGGTCATTTCAGAGCTCAGGCCCCTACCCCTTTAATCTCTCATTTGGTTAAAGGATGTGGTGACACCATAGAACACTGATGATGTGCCACTGTCACCAGCCCAGTGGCAAAGCCCAGCGTCAGCAGCAGCGACAGAGGAAAATCAAACACCGTTTTGCTTGGCCACACAAGCTTTGCAGCACACTTGGCAATGAGGAACACAGCAGGACCCATTTTATCAATACGTATTAGTGGCCTAACTTCACAAAATCTTTACCCGTAATAACAAAATAACAACATTTTTCTCTGGTGAGCAGCTTCTGCTGATACAGCCTTTGACAATATCTATGCTCAGAGAAACACTGTGTTAGCTTGCTGCCCGAATGGAGATGTAAGTGATAACAAGTATCGTTATAGGTATGCCTTTCACAAACAGCAATTTAAAGCGAAGATGAGGAAGAAGTTAACGTCATTCTTACCATGACACTCTTCACATAGCCAGCGGTTTCCAGCGTCTGATGAAAAAAATGAAATATCAGTAAATGTACAGACTAAAATAGTATTTTCTTGATTATGACTGCAGTATTTTTGGTTTCTAAAGACTGAGATGTTAATGAAGAAGCAAAGCCCCAAGCACAGCATTTGCGCAGAGCGATCTCTAGCCCTGCCACTGTCCCCAGCTCAGGGAGGTGCGGGGACCATGGGTGCACCCACTCCCCGTGCTGCAATGGTTCTGCCAGGAAATGCAATGTGGATTCAAAGGATTTTTCCAAATACTGCACCGCAAATAACTTGTATTCAGTTGAATTACTACTAGTCATAGAAATGCCCACCATCTCCCACTGACACCAGCTATGCCCATCAACTCACAGGACCCCAAGCACCCCCTGCTCAGGCTTCCTGCTCCTCTGCCATGGCCCCAGGGCACCCCACATGGGCACAGCACCATCACAGCTCACCTTGGAGAGCTCATCAATCAAATTCTGCTGCTCAATCACTTGGAGCCGCAGGAAATCAACTTCTCTCTCTTCCTGGCTGTGGTCGAGGTCATTCAAAGAGCTTGGTCTCCTTATTGTTCCAGCTCTTTGCCTCTGGAAAAAAAACCCCAAAACCACAGGGGAGAAGAGGAAACGCTGAGAAGGCTTTGCCAAGGGACAGTGTGCAACCCTTCCCGTCACAACCGGGGCTGCATCTGCTCTAATGGTTGTCCTGGCAGCAATCCTGCTCTGCACCCAGACAGCAAACATTTTGGCTGCTCCTGCTGCTCAGGCTGATGCGTGAGGCTCAGAGTCACAGTGGGCACACAGGGCCATCACACCCTGCATGATAACCTACCAAAATAGGTGCTGGAGGAATCTGGGGAGCTGGGACCAACACAGCTTCTCTCTGGGTTGCTCTCATTAATCTTCACTAACAGTGGTCCCCGAAACGCAGCACCCCCAGGGATGCCCCCATCCCTCCTGTGTTCATGCAGTGTCACAGCTCCTTGCTGCCAGCTGTCACCAGTAACAAAATTCAACTGGGGAAAAAGGGAGAGCCCCAAGTGCCAGTTTCCCAGGGATTACGGGGTGGTGCTGGTACAGATCCAAAGGTGAAGTGCGGCGATTTGTGCTCACATGGGAGCTGAGCGGCCTGAGGAGCCTCCTGATCAAGATGTGCAAATCTCACGCCATTTCTTTTCTTCAGAACTGTTTGTTTTTAAAGCTATTCCACTATATTACTATTTTATTTGAGGCTTGAACATGTTTTGGTTGATATAACTCAGTGCATCTCAGAACATCTCGGTTAGCACCAGAAAGGGGAAGGTCTCCTACCAAACTTGCTACTTTGGGATGACGCCCGACTCCATCACCCCCATCAGTCCTCAATGACGTGTTCTTCCCGGAGCACACAGACACTTACCATTGCGATATTTTCTTGCGTTACAAATTTTAATTTATTTTCCATTCGACGTAAGGCATGTGACAACTCCTCATTCTTCCTACTAAGGCGTTTGTTTTTGTCCAAAATGGGCTTATACTGACTTTCAGCTTCTCTAAGACGTTTTAACTGGAAGACAGAGAGAGAATTAACACCTCTGGAGCTGTTATCCAATGTATTAGTAATTTTCTTTAACTATCAGCATCCAGTAACCAGCAGTATTTTATTTGAGTGCGAAGCAGAATTGACCAAAAGCTCTTGGTGTTTTCCCAGGGGAAGCAGATTGTTCCTCCTTCATGAGATATTCAGTCTGTGCAACAAGAGTACCATGCAGGGAATGTGTTTTTAAAAATAAATAAAAATAAGTACACCTAATGCCATCTTCAAAATTCACTGTTACATGAGCAGAGATGAGCGTGCTGTGGCACAGCACCAAACACAAAGCGTAAGGAGGAGCCAGCCACTCCTGCAGTGATTTAAAGATGCCACAGGGGAAATGTCTCAATATTTTGGGGTAAGGCACAGCACAGAGGCGGGGTCGCAGGCAGCCATGGCTGTGCTCCCCCCTGCACTCACCAGCTCGTTCCTCTCCTCCGACAGCAGCGCGTTGCGGTCCTCCAGCTTGCGGATGATGGCACTCAGCTCCGCGATTTTCAGCTGGAAACGCCGGGCATCCTTTTCATCCAACTGCTGTTCCTAAAACAAAGATCAACTGCAAATAACTGCTCGTAAGTGTACACGCAGTATCAGCGTTCCTCACAGCCTTTCCTAGCCCCTATCCAAACATTTCAAGTCATTTACACGGCAGAGCGTGACCCACGTAACCGAACCGACCCCTGAAAGGTGCAGGATGAGACCAACGGAAAGTCAGGGGTGAGATGTAACAAAGTATGCAAATGCAGAAGTGTGTATATGCAAACACAAAATCATGAATGGTGAAACTCGGAAACAGAAAAGAAACAACCGAAAATTAAGGCCGTGTTTCCAATGTATGCCACTGTTGAACTGAGTGCTTCAGACATCACCCACTCTGAGGACTTTGATATAACAAAATGGTATTAAAAATACTGCAGTACCAATGGGGAAAATCCATGCAATTACACCATTGCACAAGCTCTTCTTCCATAAAGAGGTGCCCCTTATTGGGTTCTAGAGGGCCACTCATAAAGCCAAAGGGGTAGCACTTTGTCTGAGCGAAAATGCTTAAATCAAATTATAAAGGAATAGAAATCTAGGTAGACGTGTTCTCGTTCAGAAGCAGAGAGAAGTTACATCTATTTACAGATACAGCAGACTCTTCTCCCTGCTCTAGGCCTTGTTCTGCTGTTTGGCAGAAGTTGGATGTAAATGGCAAGAAGCAATGAGTGCCCATGGTGCTGTGGCACCTCTGGGAGGTCTCGGGTTCCTCATTCAACAGGTGCAGGAGAGGCTTGGACAAGGAATAAAACCGATTGCTTTGCTCATGTGTAAGGATTGACATTTCCACTGAGAAAATCAAGGCTGTGGCAAAAGAAATCTTGATGAGAATCAGCAATGGAGGAAACCTGCGTACGTCAGATGTGTGAGGTCAGTTAACTGAGGGGTGTTCAATGTGAGCAAATTAGGGCAAAAGCAGAAAGGTGCCATAGTTCTACTTAAAAAGCCAATGTGAAGGGTGATTAAAAATTAACGTTTTGGATATCGCATTGCAGAAAAGGAATCAAGAAGATCAGGTTAACAGGTATGGGATTCCCATTCTGGACTGCTGAAAGCACGTAGAGGCCACAGCCCTGAGCCAGCAGCGGGATCCCGCATCCGTGCCCCATCGCCTTCCCCATCCCCCTGTGAACTGGCCTGGTACATCTGCCCACAAAACCCCTGTCAGCAGCTCCCACAGCTAGCACACATACATCACTCGGTTAGAAATGCATTTGCATCATTTGTTGGCAAAAATCGTGTCAAACTAAGGCAGGTGGCAGAGTATGGTACAGTGAGGAAAAGGAACAAAAGAACAGAACAGGTTCACCCTGCGGACAAAACCGAACCAAACCAAACCAAACCAAACCAAACCAACCAGGAAACAAAAGGACAAAAAAGCAAAAGCTCTCCCACAACGAGGTTGGGTGCTGAATTTTGAAGGTTTTTTGTGACGAATGAGAGCGAGCAACGGTGCCCGGGGTTTTCCCCGCGTGGCTCTGGGACAGCTGCTGCTCCAGGGCGCGACTCATCAAGATTCCGTCACTTTGTGCCGTTTTGTCGCTCTGTCTGCTCGTTCGTTTGGGTGAAACCACGTGAAAGTGCTTACGGGGCTTCCCGAATGATCTGAAGCGTCTCCTGCACCACTTGCATAAGGAAGTTCGCGCTTGGGGCTGCTCAGGTGGCGGTCAGCCTCCTTGATCTGGGACAGCTGTTCATCTAACGCCTCCTTTTGGAGCTGCAGTCTCTGAGCATGCCCGGCTTGCACCCCTAACTCTCTCTCCAGCACGAAGACTGCTCTGTCTTTAAATTTAATCTCCTCCATCTACAAGGAGAACAGAACACAATCACACAGGCAGGCAGCGACAGCGACACCGCATCGCGCGGCCCCGACGTGGAAAATAACAACACGGCAACGGGTTTGGACAGCGAGCGTCGGAGCTGCGTCCTTAACCAGCTCCTGAGTGGGGGCTTTCCTCTGGAGAACACCAGAATAAAGCAAAAACAGGAGTGTTTTCATTAAAGTCACTGGGAGATAAGCCATATTCTTAGTACCATTTCAGAATATCTTAACAAAAAACACATTAAAAGCTGATATTCATATCACACTTCGGATGAGTTCACTCAAACATTTCAATGATTTCATGGCATTTTGCTCGGACATCACCTTGTGAAAATCTGGAGTCGTCATTTTAAAAGGCAAACACCAAAAACCTGAACATCCTTTTAATTTTCAAAATATAGAAGGAATATGGTTTTAAAACCCCTTTTCCAAAAGCCTCCCACGTGAGCGATTTGTTCAGTTATCCCCTTTCCATGAAAGGCTGTGCTTGTGCATAACCAACATCATGCCAAGCCATTAACTGCTGGAATGACAAGTGCCCAGCTGTCCCTAATTCTCCTCTCTCCTGTTTGCCCATGGTCTCAGAGGCTGCTGAGGAAGTTCAGATGGGGACGGCCCATGCCCTGGCTAATAATGAAGAATTACTCAGCACCTCCCGAAATGTTCAGTGCCTGCGATGCTGCACAGCACCGCAACAGAAGCTTCCCAGCTGGATTGCATGCGTATACATTAAACATGAACATCAAGTAAGAATATAACTATAAACACGAATATCATGTATTAATTACACTCACACGCCACGGGGCTGCCAAATGTGCTCACAGACAGTGATGCCATGGAAAGGAAGAAACCAGGCACAGCCCCTGAAATGTCTGATGCTGGTTTCAGACGCTGTACGTGCATAAGATTTTTGACATAAGTTTCTGAGATGGTACACATTTAATTTAAATTATCAGAGTTTAAATCGTGGCCTGCTTGAAAGGAGAACACTTTGCCTGGTGGGGACTGCATTTGGTACTTTTATCTTTGCCAGCCTTGTCTGCAAACGTGGAATAAATGGCATTGTGAATGAACAGATCACTCCAGGTGCTTTGCTTCCAATAACCGCAAAAATGGCCCACCCAGGGAAAAAACAAGCATAGCAATTTACCCACAGCTGGGAAGTTACTCCTATTCAGTGGGTTTGGGTTGAGGGGTTGACTACAGCCATGAAATGGGACAGGACAAGGGGGAGTTGGGGCACGATGTTCCCCTGTTGCACAGCGTGGGGCTGTGTCCAGACCCAGGCGAGGAGAGGTGCACCCTTTGCCCCATTACCCCATCACCCCCAACATGGGGACAGCTCCAAGGTTCAGCCCCAACCATAGGGGACAGCCAAGGGGCTTCCTGAGGGGGTTCTGCTCCTCAATAAGCAAAGGAAGAACCAAGCTATGAACCCAGCGAGATCCCACATCGCCCCTGGGGGAAGAGCCAGCCTTTGCCAAAACAGGACAGCTCATTAATACCTGTGTGGAAACTGTGCTTGGAGCTTAAGCAAATTTAGATTCTTTTAGTAAAACGGAGCAAATCAAATGTACTTCAAATGTACAACCAAATGCCATTCTATGTAAGGTACTTTCAACAATTTCAATGGAAGCACTGGTCCACTAACTTTGAATGAGACAAAGAGATCCCCACTGAGGTCCCTTTGGTAAATACCTGATCAGGTAGAAATCTAAGGGGATGTATGACAAAAAGGTAACACATCATCAAATGGTTATTTGTCTAAAATAAGCAGAATATTGGGGAGTTGATTTCTATTTGTATGAAGACAAAGACATGGTACAACATAGACAACACCTAAAATTAGGAGGAACAAAGAAACTGGAGGAAACACAATGCACTGCACAGCATCTCACTAATGGTTTGTTTTCCCGAAAAAACCCCAAACATAATCTTCACAAACAAAGGAAACATCAGTATTCGCATTTCCCTTCGTGCGATTAAATTCACGTTCATGAAATATGCATAGCGGTTTGATGCGGTTTGATGCTTGCAGCCCGTTATCGAACGGCAACGTTGCAGAAACGGCACAAACCGAAGGAAGCATTTCACCGAGAAATATTATTTAGCAAATTTCCTGCTATCATTAGCAAGGTTAAGGAAACGCAAAGCCAAGAAACAACTCGCAACTCACCCGCAGGGGCGCGGGTCCCCGTGCACGCACCCCAAAAGGCTGCCGCTCCCCGGCCTCATCCTGCAGTGGG